GTGCCCCTGACCAGCTCATGCTCTCTCTCTCTCTCAGAAAAAACATTTAAAAGAAAAAAACTGAGAATGTTTTAAGTTTGCAAAGACAAAAGATTAATAAAAGTAACTTTACCTTTCAAATGTGACTTTAAAAATTTTTTTTTAATGTTTATTCATTTTTGAGAGACAGAGAGAGAGACAGAGCATGATGAGCAGGAAGGGGCAGAGAGAAGGAGACACAGAATCCGAGGCAGGCTCCCAGGCTCCGAGCCGTCAGCACAGAGCCCGACGAGGGGCTTGAACTCACGAACTGCGAGATCATGACCTGAGCCGAAGTCGGACGCTCAACGCACTGAGCCACCCAGGCACCCCTCAAATGTGACTTTTTAACAGCAAAATAGAAAAGTGGTAAACCGTCTCCATTAAAAAAAACAAAACAAAACAAACAAAAAAACAATACTCCCAACAAAACTAAAGGTAAGCTTACATGTTGAGCTAATTCAGATAGTACATAAAGACATGGACAACCACCTTATTTTAACCCCCCCCAAAAAAGTATTTACTGAATCTTATATTCAAGTTTTCCATATACAATTCGAAATAAATTATCCTTGAAAATAAGATGTTTAAACCATGCAACATAATCTCTGCAATTGTACCTAGTTAATATAATATTTGCCTTAAGTACACCAGACAAATATTTACAAAATAAAAACCAGCATAAGTATTTTTGTATCTGAGAGCCTGACATTCTAATCCACTGGATTAACATTGTTTCCTAAGTATAGTAATATAAAAAAATCTCTTTGGGTACTCAACACATTAGAAGTACAACTATCTACTTATAATTGCCAACTTCCAACAATATGACACATCAGTAAACACCAACACAATACTTTAGCAATCATTATGTGAAATGACAAGTGAGAAACAAAACTCTCAATAACGATGGGTCACCAAATTCTTTCGTCTAACAGTTATTATAAAAAAAATTTATTTAAGAAACCTAAATACACATTCATGATTAAACATTTTAAAATTAAACTAAAATGTTATAAAATTTCCTTTTTCTCTTTTACAAAACAAAGTCTCAAACATAAAAGGTTAAATTTAATGTTAAATATTTCTTTTTTTTTTTTTTTGGAATTGTTTTCTGATACTATCTTAGTAAATTATTTATTCAGCCGCTTTTTTAAGTTCTCAAGGTGTTCCATTTCAACATCCTGTAATGCCAGTACTATTGCTTTAGACAAGGAGGGATTAAATGAAATCGTCATTAGACAACACAAATCTATTAAATCTCTCTGACACTTCTGCAAACCTTCCAGGAACTTTTGGTATTGAAGAGGATCCTTTTTTAACTGTTTCATTTCTGGTACTGAAAACCCTATCAGACTAGTAAGTATCTCATCCACAAAGTCTACATCTAGATATCCAGTACCATCAGAAATCTTTGCTGTTATACTCCAAATGCCACCAGAACTTGAAAGATTTCCAGTTAAGGTTACAATAAATGCTTTGACCTTCACTGTTGTAACTTCCTTTGGTTTGCTGGCCATTAGGACAGACAAATAGATAAAGGGCGGAGAATACAAATCCATGGCAATAGAAAGATTAGTGTTGTTCTCTGATGGCCTTAAAGAACAAGACTGTAAATGATGATCATTTTCACTAGAAATGTGTGAACTCCTTTTTGGTACATTATTTACCAGCTCTCCCTTTGATATTTTATTTAAGGAATGTCCATCTGCACTGCTGAAGGTTTGTTTTACTTTATTACCTGTCTCTGAGTCCTTATCTTTATTTGTAAAATCATGGGGTAGGGGTACATTACTATGAACTGAAAAAACGCTACTGTTTTTGTCTTCAACAGATGGACAACTAAATAATTTGTCTTCATTAGTCACTTGTTCGGATACATTTTTTTCATTCCAATTACGGTTTCCACTTTTGCAAATCAAAGAAAAATTATTTGGAGTATTAGGTTTATGTAAAAATCTCTCTATGCTTTCATCTGGGGTTCTGTTCAAAGTCAATAGCTGTAATTCTTTAGTCTTCATTTGTTCTTTCTGGACAGTTTCTTCTAAAAGCAAGGCCTCCTCCAATGAAAAGTCATCTAATTCCCCATCAGTGAAATGCATAGGTTGATTTGGTTGTTTCTCCTTGGGTTTTGGAGAAATAATATGTCGTGATTCAAAACTTGACTGTCTTGTGGGAACAGTATTTGAGGAACTACCTGTGCTGAAGCATCTTCTTTCTAAGGAGGTGTCATTATTTGCTGCAAGCTCATTTTCATCAAGACTTGCCAAGAGTTCTTCATCAGAAGGTCCTAATGCAGGATCCAGAACATCTGTAATTCCAGGGATGGTCTGGTTACAATTATTTGGTATGACTGAAACTACACGATCAGGTTCCCCAATTAATCTTGCAAGTACTTTTTCTTGGGCATATTCCTCTGAAAGGGCATCTACTTCTCCTCCCAAAATCTTCACATTTTCTGGTTTCAATAAAAGAACACCAAGACGGAAAGAAATGTTTCCATAAATCAAAATTTTTGTACCTGGGGCAAGATCACTATGAAGAGCTGGAATAGACTGATATTCCATTCCCTGCATTTGTACAACTCCATCAGTTAGTTGTAACATCAACATTCGTGAAGGCTTTGCTTCCCAAGGTTTTAGGGTTACTTGTGTTTCAGCTGTAACTAAGTCATTCGTTGTATTCTTTCCTCTCAACTTTTGTATCTGGGAATATGCAGGTTGACTTACATCAACCAATGAATTAATCTGCAAAGCAAAAAATCCATTCAGTTCTCCTTTTGGAACTTCTAAAATGCCGTCAGGTAAAACAGGATGTTCCAAATCTCTCAGGTCAGTAAGGAGCCACTGCTCAAACACTTGTTTATTCATTTGTGCCTGACTCAAATTAACATTATCATTTTCTTCTTGGATCCAGTTAATACAAGCTTCCAACCACATTAGAGGTACTTTAACATGCCACGTAGCTAAAAGCCAGGTTTCAACTCTTAATGCAATATTAGTTACACTCATTTCTTTTAAAATAAAAGAAATATTATGCAAGTATTACCTGAAAACAAAAAACAAAAAAAAATTATGATAATTCAGTATATTTAAATACAGTTTCTACAATTCTCTACAATGCACAGGTATAACCACACCCTTTAGATTTTTCTCTCTTCAACATCTTAAAATTCTTTGACTTTCTACATGGCCAAATTCAAATACCACAAGTAATCCGATTATATAATGAGAAAAGCAAAAGGTTTGAGACAGATATATTCCGATTTGAAAGCTAGTTCTGTCAAGTTACAAGTTCTGTGGCCTAATACAAATTTCTTAACTTCTCTAACCCAGTTTTTTCATCTGTAAAATGTCAATACCACCATTTATCTTCCAGGGTTGTTGTGAAGATTATACAATTAACATTTGTAAAGCATAATGTCAGACCTATGAAAGACACTCAGTAAATGGTAGTTATTATATTAATAACCAGATTCTAATCATTTAAAATTTAGTCAAGAAACAATAGTCGCTAAGGTTGTTTTCCTATGTATAATTCATGTTCTATTAAAATGTTTACCATTAGGGTGCCTGGGTGGCTCAGTCAGTTAAGCACCCAACTTCGGTTCAGAACACGATCTCAGAGTTTGTGAGTTCAATCAAGACTGCGTCAGGCTCTGTAATAACAGCTCAGAGCCTGGGGCCTGCTTCAGATTCTGTGTCTCCCTCTCTCTCTGCCCCTCCCCTGCTCACAATCTCTCTCTCTCTCTCTCAAAAATAAATAAACATTTTTTAAAAATTAAAAAAAAAAACACTTTACCATTCTGTTTGCCCATTTAGCACTTAAATATGTGGTCTATGCATAAAAATATAGTAACAATAGACTCTGTGCTGATGTAAAGTATCTCATTTGTTTCACTAAATAAAACTCAACGGTCCTTCCTACGAGATACGAGATAAATGTACTTCTGATTTCTCAATATAAAAGCAGTAGCAAAACACTATGAAACACCAATTAACACTGTGTTCACAAAAGTATATTTTTTCTCCCACAGATCAAAATATCTAAGAGTTAAAATTTATAAAAGTTTTAACATGTCCACAAGAAAACTTACCATTTGGAACAGGAACATATAGGATTTGATGATAGGATTTGGAACTGGTTGTTCAGTGGAGTAATTGTAACCTCTACTGTTCAGAAATGGCCCTGGGACAAGAAGTGGTAAGGGTTATAAGGCAAAGCCACAGAAAGAATCACTGGTCTATCTGTATGAGTGTTAAGAGTTTGGTGGTATGGTTTTGGGAGTTCCTATTATCAATCAGGGCAGAGTAGAGGTAAAATAATAAAAACATGAGGTTTTGAATGAGCTAAATAGAAGCAAGTGACCATGAGAAATTTACACACTCCCTCTTAGTGTATTTCTTTATCTATATGCTTAACCTCACAGGGCTACTGTAAAAATTAAAGATAGGAGAGGATGGCCCACAGGGCACTGGCACAGGCACGTATCTTAGGCAGCTGGGTCAACTGACCCAAAGGGAAGATCCAGCTGAACTCCGCATCCCTACCACCATGACCTGTCAGTCATAGGGTTTACAGCAGCTTCTGTAGGCTGAGAAGTGGGTGCCCAGAAAGTGTCCAAGGTCCACATGCAAAAGAAATGAAAGCTGAAGCAGGCAAAACCAACTCAAGCTGAAACAGAACAGTACAGCCTACAGAGAGAGAAAAGTGTCCAAGGCCGAGGACACTGTGGCTCTGGGATCCCATGGTAGTTGCAGCAGTGGAGACAGCCCAGGAGATGATGACCATCCTCTAGACCTAATTCCAGCAAAACAGGGATGAAGTCCTAGATAACCTCTTAGACTTTAAGACATCAAGCAGAAATCCATGAAAACTACCACATAAATGGACAGGAGAATAAGAAAGAAGTGCCTATTCAAAGGATTGGAATTTTACATGCCTTCATGGGATATGAAATTTTAGCAAAGCTTGAATTATATTCTCATGAAAAGGCATTAAATTATTTCTGTATATTATACAGTAGGTCCTTTCAGTTTTTGGAGAATAACAAATCTAGCTTCTTTATGTGAACTTAAAGCTTACCCTAATGTACAACATGGTGACTATAGCTAATAATACTATCTGTATTCGAAAGCTGCTAAGAGAGTAAATCTTTTTTTTTTTAATTTTTTTAATGTTTATTTATTTTTGAGACAGAGAGTTAGAGCATGAACAGGGAAGGGTCAGAGAGAGGGAGACACAGAATCTGAAGCAGGCTCCAGCTCCGAGCTGTCAGCACAGAACCCGACGCGGGGCTCGAACTCACAAACTGTGAGATCATGACCTGAGCCGAAGTTGGAAGCTCAACCGACTGAGCCACCTAGGCACCCCAAGAAAGTAAATCTTAAAAGTTCTCATGACAAGAAAAAAAAAAAAAATCTGTAACTATATAAGGTGATGAATGCTAACTATTAACTAGACTTACTATGGTGATCATTTTGCAATGTACACAAATATCAAATCATTGTTGAACCATTGAAACTAATATAATGTTTGTATCAATTACACTTCAATTTTTAAAAGACACCAAAAAAGCTTACTGAAAGACTTCACTTTTTTACCTCATGTCTCTTAGAAATTTAATGAGTATACATTGTCTGGTCCCCTATGTCTTTTAGCTTAAGCAACATATATCAATACTGACTTTTTCTTTATTAGATGTAGTTTAAAAAAAAATGTTTTTAAAAAAGAAAAGGGTTTAATGTTTTTTCCCCCAAAAGTTTTTCTTGAGGGTCAGGAGCTTTCTCTATGAGAAAGTAGTAAATAGTTATTTGTAACCTGTGTTAAGCAGCAGACAGCCTTAAAATAGTCTTTTCCACCTAAGAGTTAGAACAATAAATACTAGCATAATTGTCTGGCCTGCTTTTAGTTTCTCTTAATCAAAATTACTAGACGACAGAATTCAAGAACTGGCTACCCGTTATTACTTGGTATGCTGATAATCATTTAAAAGTAAAGACTATCGTGCAAAATAAATAAACAAAACAAAACAGATGGAAGAGCCACTATATAATCTAGTGGTTCAGAATACAACTCTGGAGCCAAATTACACTTATAAACTCTGTGACCCTAAACAAGTGGTCATGTTATTAACAAATGGTTAAAATTTAAAGGAGTTATAGTTGTGAGGATTACATAAATAACATTTTAGAGGAGGAGCTAAAAAAGGTCATTATCATTACAGAACTAGTGAATCTTTACAGTGAAAAAAATGAGAATATATACATATTTTTTTAATTATTGTGATAAAAATAGACCATGTAAAGACTGATTAGAAGACTCTTTAATAAAGACATTTAAGACTATGGCATCCCCGGGGTTTCTGGGTGGCTCAGTCGGTTAAGCATTTCTTTTTTTTTTTTTAATATTTGTGTTTTTTTTGAGAGAGAGAGAGACAGAGTGTGAGTGGGGGACGGGCAGAGAGAGAGAGAGAGAGAGAGAGAGAGAGAGAGAGAGAGAGACAGGGGCACAAAATTTGAAGAGGCTCCAGGCTCTGAGCCTCAGCACAGAGCCTGACACAGGGCTCGAACTCAGGAGCTGTGAGATCATGACCTGAGCCAAAGTGGGACACTTAACAGACTGAGCCATTGAGGCGCCCCTCTAAGACAATCTTGTAACAATAGGCACATTAAATAAAAAATGCAATGAAATGACTATGAAGAGAGCCAAAAACTCCAAAAAAGCTATTTTTAATATCATCAGAAAGATAATAATATCCAGGTAATAAGAATCGGATTCTGTAACAAGAAATATTCATAGGACAAAAACAACTCTTAGAAATTTAAAATGATAGCAGAAATGAAACACAGTACACTGAATGGAAGATAAAGTTAATAAAATCTCTTCCAAAAGTAAAACACTGATTTCCAAAGAAATCAATGAAACACAAGGAAAAAGAAAAAAAAAGCCCCATAAGTCTAACAGACTAGGAGTTCCAGAAAGACAAAAAAGAGAAAACAAAGGAGGGAGAAGGAAGGATTAATCAAAGAAATAAATTTACAATTTCCAGGACTTAAAGAAAAGAGCTTCCAGATGGAAAGAACCCAATACAGTGAATAAAACAGACATGTAACAAGGCATTATCTTTATGAAATTTTAGACAGGGACAAAGATGCTGCAAGCATCCAGAAAAGGATAACAAATATCAATGAATGCAAATGGTTTTAGATTTCTCAATAGAAGCTAGAAGGTAAATGAGCAATTCCTTCAAATTTCTTAATGAAAATTATTTCCAACCTTCTACCTAGGCAGACTATCAATCAAGTATGACAGTGAAATTAAACATTTTCAGATCAGCATTGTCTAAAACAATTTTTGTAAAGGAGGATGTGCACTGCACTATTATAACAGAAATAAACCAAGAAAGAGGAAGAAATGAGAGGAAAAGCATTATAGCAAAAAGTATGTGCGCGATGTAAAGGCAAACAGCCCAGAAGGTCCAAAGAGAAATTATTTTTCAAGAAGATAAATCCTGTAAGACCACTATTTCCAGGATCTCATGTCTTTTTCTTGGTTTACACTTCTCTTAGAGCATCAATATATCTCAATATAGGGGAGAGATAAAAGTAACTGTAGGAGTTAGGGGTTAAACTGATAAAAATATAGAGAAAACAAAACAAGGCCATTCAAGAGAAAAGAACATGTTGTACTGGAAAGATAAAGCAGTACTAGTATACTACTAACCTTAGTTATAAATAACGTATGTGTTCATAACAGACCCTCTGAATACTAACCTGAGAAAAATTTTAACTTAGCTATGCAGATTTTTTTAATTTTTTAAAAAAGTTTATTTATTTATTTATTTTGAGAGAGCGAGCAAGCATAAGCAGAAGAGGGGCAGAGAGAGGTGTTATACACCTGAAACTAATGTAATATTGTGTGTCAACTATACTCAAATTAAAAAAGAAAAAAAACTAATGGTATGAAAGACAAAATACTGTCCCCCTGAGATCAAGAATAAAGCAGATGGGGGCACCTGGGTGGCTCAGTCAGT